CATTAGTTTAATATATTGTACGTTAATTATAATATTAATTAATGACAAGGGCAACTATATGATCATATTTGTAACACCGTGTACACTTCTCTTCGAACTTAGTTTAGAAAACAAAATTCTAAAAAAAATTTTGTAGGCAATCAATTTGAATGTATTGATTTTTATTTTAAACTCATACTGTTAGTAGCATATGTAAATAAATGTGATGCGGGCTTCATTTGGAAAAAAAGTGTTCGGGAAAAAAATAATAAAAACAAAATATATTTAATGGTTGTTCATAATTTTTTTTTTCAGTTGAACTACTTCGCTTAGAATTTTTGATTAAAAATTACTGGATAAAAACTGTTATGTCATATCTATCATTACCATATCATTCTTTTATTTGTGAAAAGAAAGTTTAAAAAAATAGTCATTTTTCTTAATGGAAACAGATTTGATAGGGTTTTCAGGAAACATTTATTTTATTTTATTTTCAATTTTGAATTTAGAAAAATAGCGAAACACATTATTATATTCTCTTTTTTCAGAATATTTTGCTTGCTTGAAAATGTTTGTGAACTATTTAGAAAAATTAGAAATTGCAAATAATGTAAGAGGTTATTTAATATTATAGTGCTTTCTAAATGACTTGAACTGTTTTCTGTGTTCTTTTTTTAGGGTATTAACGCATAATCAGTATTTTTGTCGATAAAGAATTATAATGATAATATTCTGCAACATATTTATAATTAAATTAAATTTAATTATAAATCTGTAAATTAAATTTGTTTATAATTAAATTAAAATAAAAAATTACATAATTATAATATATTATTATTTTTTACTTAACATATTTAAATTGTTTCAAACAAAGAAGAAGAATAACACAGGGGTGCGAAAAAATGAGTCAAAATAGCTCTGAAAAAATCATGACAGAATTTGAAAGCATCTACTCATTATTGATTATAGTGAAGTGCTCAAAACAGTATATATTAAGTTTGAAACGCAGCTCACTCTCGTTTAAACAACAAGTTACTCAATGAAAGTACAGTACATGATGTGTCATTTTTGAGAACGTACATTTTGCTTTCAAATGAGTAATCTGTTTGCTGTTTTGTGCAAGTTACTATCCTCAGTGACGACTGCCTCTGATGAGTAAACGGAGTTTTCAAAATCGACTACATTTGTTTTGGCGCTATTTTGACATATTTTTGCTCAAAACTCTTTTTTAGAATGAATACTTTTTAAAACATATTTAGAAATTGTATTACCAGAAATACATTCTGGAATTATATTCTTTAATTTATGATATTTTTTCTTTCTCTTAAATATAACCTTGAAATCTTTTTTTTTTCTTATGATAATTTTTAAAATATTTTTGCAGGACTTTATTGAACAATTATAAAATGAATTTTGTAAAAATAATGAAAGTCTTATAAAACTTTATTCTGCACATAACTAAATCTATACAAAATCTGCTAAAAATATAATAATTCTGTAATTTCCCTACAGAAAATTTCTATTTACTGAAACTGCAGAAATTTACTGTCAAGCTACATCGTAAACTTCCATAAGAGACGTTGTTTCTGTTATTAAATAAAATGTGTAGCCATTGAGACAGATGGTATCTGTTAAGTACAATTTTTTTCAAAAAATTTTTAAAATTGTCTTAATTCTGCTAGTAATGAGATTGAAATTTATATTATATATTATTATCAGAATAAATTCAGAATAAAATCATTTTTATTTCTGCAATCAATGAAATTGAATTTTTGCATTTCACTAAAGTAACTACTCTTATGAAACGTTTATCCTTTATTTGTTTTCTTTTTTAAATTTATTTTATAGCAAAATTGCTTATTCCGAAATATTCGTGTTTTATATTTAGTATTTCTTTAAATAATTTGCAATATTGACAACCTATTTTAATTAATTTTAAGCTAAGAAGCATCCAGTAAATTGAAGAGCATTCTACCTTACTGAGTGTACTTGAAGTATATGCAAATTAAATTTTTTCTCAAAACTATTGTCATTCTAATTAAGATAATTGATTCTGAAAAGGCTTCAAATCCAATTAAGCATGGATATTTAACATAATGTTTTGCTTTTTAATATTTTTTTTCTAAAGTAAGCAAGTTTGAAATAAACTTTCTTTAAGACATAATTAGAAATATCTTATTTTTATATAAATTGAACAATTCAGATTAAAATTTAATTAAGTATACTGGAAATTCACAAGTTTCATTAAATTACAGCTTAAAAGATCCTTTTTAAAGAAAGTTAAATTCACTATATGATGAATCATTCAAAAAAACAACGTTTTGAGTGAATTATTTCTTTTTATTCTTAATGTTATTTTATTTATTTATTTCATTTCGAAATACAACGAAATTACTAAAGTAAGTTAATTAATACACGTTGTTTAATTAAACAATGTACGAAATTCCAGTGAATATATCCATAGATAAAGGAGTTGAATTTTTTATTTCTTATTTTATTTTCAAAATGATTTAGAGCCGAAAAGTCGTCTATGGTAATAAGAATGAAAATCTGTTTATAACTTCGTTCCTTGTACTGCACTTAAAAAAAACAATGAATTAAATTTTTTATGTGGGTTAAAACTTTTTTAAATAAGCAAGATTTAGATTTATATGCTTTTTTGAGGTTTCGAGTAACAAAACTAATTTAAATTCTGATCAATAATTTAGGAAATTTTGTTTTAGTTTACTTAGAAACAATTTAGGAAAATACAAATTATATGTGCTTCGAAACGCACTTTGGTTTTCAAAAATAACAGAAGAATTGAGAAAAAAAACGATCAAAATAACCCCAACCACGCTTCTAGTGTTAAAAGTACCCTATAATTTTGAAGTCTATAGTATGAAACATATATCTATACTTAAAACCTATAGTTTAATATGGAGATATAACCGCGACTTTGTGGCACACGGAAGTATTCATCATTAGTTTCTCGCCCACAGACTTTATTGGAATTCTTTGTCACAAGTTTAATACATAGCATATCCGATACATATATATATATTTTCAATGTCCTCTGTGTCTGAACATAATGAGTGATTTAATATCATTATCTCCTAAGTCAAATAGCAATGTGGGAGATATGCTACTCAAAAATTCCAAATTTTCGATTTTTTAGCAATCCTCAACTTGAAAGTGTATTTTTGAAGCACAGTCCTCTTTCTGCAAATCCTTCTCATAAAACAATATGCATTAAACATTTTAAATCCAATCACTTTGAAACAGTGTCCAGAAGATTTGTCAACACGGTATCCAGTCAGTAGTAATAGCCGATGTACGTGCCACGGAAGTGACGTAATCACTCAAAGTCAACCGGAGCTTATTTCTGCCCCAACCGGAAGTTGCTCATTTCTGCCAAACCGGAAATTGCTTATTTCTGCCCGTCTATTAACCGGATGTTTTTATTTCTGCCCGTGTGTTTATTTCTCCCCGTCTTAAATCGAAACTTCGTCTGCAGCGTCATGGGGAGCTTATTTCTTTTTTTCTTAAGCCTAATATATTTTTAGTTTCGGTTTCTGTTTTTAATATAGTTTTGCTTTTTAAATATTATTTTCATTTATTACTTTTTTGAGGGTGGCAACACATAATAATTTTAATATTAGTTTCTTGCGGTGGCAACACTTATAAACTTTGTTATTCGGTGTGAAATATTGTATATTATGAAGTAATGACGTCATCTTTTTTATTACTTAATACATAACGGATATCATGCTTTTACTCTAGTGGCGCCATCTATGTGGGGATAATGGAAATAAAATAACTTTAAATCTATTTTAATATTTAATTTCTGTTCTATTATTATTTATTAAATATAATTAAGGCTGAGGATCGAACTCACGCCAATCAAAAAGCCTTCGTGGGTCAGTAGTTGGATATCATAACCACTGACCCACGAATGCTTGGTTAGATATGTGTAAATAAGTTAAACTTTTGTATTTTGAGCACGTGTATAAATGAAAAGGATTTTATATCGATATTATCCTACAGTTTCATCGATATATTTTCACTTGGCAGTTATTAAGTAATTATTTCTGCCCCTCGAAAGGATATTATAACTTTCTCTGAATGGCAACGGTACTGATCATACACGTGTTAATTATTACATAATAAATAAATGATATCATGATTTTCACTCTAGTGGCGCCATCTATGAGGGAATGTTAGAAATAAAATAACTTTAAATCTGTTTTATTATTTAATTTAAATATAATTATTACTGAGGATTGAACTCATCATGTGGTGATAAGAGCATTAGTCACTGAAGCGATCCATGAGGTATGATGGGTGGGGGGGAGTACCGGTTTTAGCCCGACGTCACTTGGGTTGAGTCATCAACATGCTGGGATCGCACTCGGACAAGATTCATCTTGACCAGGGGGGAGTACCGGTTTTAGCCCGACGTCACTTGGGTTGAGTCATCAACATGTTGGGATCGCATTCGGACAAGATTCATCTTGACCAGTGACGTACAGGTATTGAACTCCGTTCTCTTCACTCGCGCAGTTGCACGTGATGTGATTAATATTTTCTCATTGGTTGAACTGTCTTTTGAAGTAATTCTTTCCGAATTTTGGCAACGGCAAGGCATAGCTTATAATAAACTTTCTTGCATTTCTTTTCCT